AGCAGTTCCAATAGGGTCTTCGCACCCTTTTGGGTGCTCGGACCCTAATGAACAGATATAACAGTGGCGTTGATTTGAAAAAAAGCAAATAAATGTATTGCTCAAAATGTTGGGCTTTAATAAGTCTAAAATCTAAACAATGATTTAAACCATGAGACCACAGGCTGGAGGGTTTGTACAGAGACACACTCAAGCCAGTGTTACTTGTGTTTCCCTCCAGGTCTGGCTGCGTCACCGTATCAGCCTGAGCAGCTCGGACTTGGAAATAACGGGAAACTAACAGGAAAATATGGTGAGGCAGAGCAAACAGGATGGCTCGCTTTGTAAATGACCATTCATTTAATAATTTGATTTAATCTTTTTGCTGTTTCACTGCTAAGGTGGCGGTGAGGCTGCCTACTCACCACAGACTCTTGGTTATGGGGGTGAAGTGAAATCTTCGGGGATATATGGTACAGAACATCCTCTTTCTTTCTTTTTAGTCATTCCACTTCTGTGTTGTTGACTAAATGGTTTCACGTCGTATTTCTCTACAGATAACCAGGGAGCTTACCAGCCGCAGCCTCCTGAGTCCACAGCTGAAGGTAGATCTGCTGGAGAATGTGATATTGTGTCATCATTGCTAGAAAACACAGATAAATTGTTCATTCATCTCTTTTTGCTTCACACAGAAACAGCTGGTTTAAGTTATGAGCCTCTGCCTCTGGAGCCAGATTCAGCTGGAAAATCTTACGGTGCGTCAGGAGTTTCTTTCTGAAGGGATTCACAACACAAATAAAGCCCTGTTTTCTCCTGCTCATCAGCTTTCTCCTCTGATGTCTTAGTGAAGGGAGAGGTGCCGACTCCAGCACTTCCAGCTGAAGGTGAGGGGATGCCCATCGATAGATATGGTAAGTATACTGTGTGTTTATCTGTTGTGACTCTCCTGCATTCAGTTAAACGTTTGGCTGCTTTATGTCACTTTCAGAAAATGTGGGATACATAAATGGACAAGTGCAGCCAGAAGGTAATCCGGAAATATGGATTGCATAAAAAGCACATAAACAATAAAGAAGTTGTTGAAATCTAAATCAGATTTCTGTCTCCTCTCCAGTGGCTGCATTCCCTGCTCCCACCCCCAGCCCCGACCTGGCCGACCCATCTGTCCCTGCCTACCTCCCCATAGAGGACTCCTTCACGCCTGATGTGGTACCTGGACCGGATGTTCAGGACTTGCCCGACCCAGTGGACACAGCCAGCCCCGTCTTTGATTCCGCGCCTGTTACAGAAGCACAAGGCGAAGCTCAGGGTCCTGAGCAACCTGACGACCTGCTGCAACAGCAGCTGCCACGTCAGATACACATTCAGCAGCATCTCAAACTGCATTTTCACCCACAAGGTAAGCCCCTCGGGGCTGACAGGCGGTGCTGAATATATCCTTCAGACTCCAAAAAAGTAGCAAGGTGGAAGGGAGAAGCAGAGGAAGATGAGAGAGTCGGTGGACTGCTCAGGAACGGTTACATAATGGAATGATGGTTTACCTGGCAGAGAGACAGTGAAAAATAAAGAGCCTGTTCTGTGCTTTTGGGTTCTTCCAGTTGCTTTAGTCTGTTATTGCTTTTCTATGCATGTAAACGGTGCAAATTTAGGAAACTACACCAAAGGAAGTTATTGTCCTAAACAGAACATCGCTTCTTACCTGCATGAAATACCACGTTTGAAGTTAATGGACCGAGATAGTAACACTTTCATATCAGTTTTAGCACAACGCAAGCCTGAACTGTACCCAGTCACAATAACGGACGATGATACTTCCAGGTGTATACAGTTATTTAGCCTGTTTTTTCCACATTTAAAGACCAATATTGCTCAAAAAAATATCAAAGAGAACAAAAGACAGTTTGTGTAAATATCACAAAACATCTTTCACTTTGCTCCATTACAAACTGAAATATTCCTAAAAATACAACTTCACTGTGACAAAACCAGAGACCGACGCCTCAGATTAATGATACTCATCAATAATAAATACAATGCTTTTTTTTTTTTTTTGACAACTTGTTTATAGGAGCTGAAGTTTAGTTTGTTGGAGTTTTTCCTCTGAGTTTATGAAATAGCTGCAGCATCAGAGTGCAGGATCTATGTTAGGGTCTCCAAAGTGAGAGAATTTTGTGCATCTATGCATATGAAACAGCAAAAGTTCATAAATTATATATAATAATAAATTATCCCTGATATAGAGACAGTATTAGTCAGGATCTAACAGCAAGTCACACTGTGTACTTTTCTTGCCCTGAACCTGAAGCTGGACATTAGGATTATAATGAATTCTTTAAGATGTTATTTCCATATAACAGTGTGGGAAAATGACATAAGAAGAACAGTATAAACATTATAACCTGGACAGAGGTGCTTTTCAACCTTCAGATAAATCTTGTTTGCATGTAGTATAAACCTTGCAGCCTCAAAAACTAGCATGAGTAGCTCTCTCTCTTTGGTTGTTACAGGTTTGCATGCCTTAAAGCAGTAGTATGATATTTGGAAATGAATTTAATTCATTTTCTTGCCAAGAATTAGATAAGAAAAATGATACCACTCTCATGTCTGTGCACTAAATACAAGGCTACCATCAGCAGCCATTAGCTTAGCTTAGCTTAGCATAAAGACTGGAAATAAAAGAAAAGGTTAGCCTCTCACAAATTAGCAAAATCCACCTTTCAGCACCTCTAAATTAATTTTTTTTTAAAATTTTTGTTATTTTGTTATGTATTGTTTGTTCTAATCGATACTAAACCCAAATTATAACAATGAGAAGTTGTGATTTTAAAACAGTAAAGTAGCTGTTCGCATGCTAAGCTAACTGTATCTTGGCTTGAAGTTAATATTTAGCATACAGATACAAGAGTGGCAACACACTTCTCCTTTTAACTGTCAAGACGTGCATGTAAGCATATTTGTACAAAGTTGTACTATTGACATGTTGATTATTAAGCTACAGCTAACATTAAAGATCCACACGTTTGCTGCAACAATGCATCATATCAGTATGTAAAGACTGGTAGAGGCTGTATGTGCTAAAAACTACTACATAATTGCGTTGTTCTTTATTTTTCAGGAGCAAAGAATAACAAATATGATTTGAATGGTTTCTTTGGGAATAGTGGCTATCAAGGTAAGACTGACTCAAAATAAAATGTTTTTATATTTTATATTTATATTTTCCCCAAACATCCTATTCATCTTTCAACTGTATTCTTCTTTCCCTGCAGGTTAACTCTACTGACAACAACAATTATAACCATTTTTTTTAGTGTTTTATTATGTTTGATTGTTTCCTAATTGTATATTATTTTTATTTTCTTCTGTCTGTCAAATCGTACTGGTAGTCATATGTAGTGTACATTTTTATGCATCCAGATTTCACCTTTTTTCTGCACTTACTGTTCACTGTATGCTAAGAAACTGTCGTTTGTCTGCTGCATATGGTCAGTATTTTTATTAAAGCAGTCTCGTTTTGGGGGGATGTCAAAATATTTCTACAAGATAATAATTCAGTCTAATTTATTTTCAGTGGAAAATGTATTTTTTTTAAATACTTGTGGTAATAAACTGTTTATTATTGTACAGTATTTGATTAAATAAAACCAGAAGAATGCCAACAGTCAAAATATTGTTTTTCTTTCTCATCTATGCAGGTTTTATATATACATACAGTATGTTACAGGATTTGCAAAATCCAATTATTATGTTTAAATATAATGATAAGAACTTATCAGTGCCAGTTACGTCACCACCTGGTCAAGTGCTTTAATCTCCAGATCATCCTGACTGCAGCACAGTTGTAGCACAAGCACGGGCAATAGGAGGATGTGTGCGGTCTGCAGCAAGGGAAACACTCCTGCGTTATTGTTCCATATTACACAAACCCTGAAGTTGAGGTGTGAGTTTGTTATAAGCCACTACAAGGAGCAGCTGCTGCCGTGCACGTGGCTTTTTGTGAGGATTACCCCAGCTTAGGAATAAAAGCCGTCCGCTGATTGGTCCCACTGAAAGCATGCCACTTGGCCCGCTCAACAGGTTGCTTTCATGGAATTACACCTGTCCAATGATGGGTTTCAGTGGCCAGAGTTTCCGACTGGTTGCGGTCACATCCGTGCCTGAGAGCCCTGAGTCTGGCCATTTTTAGGATGTAGATGGTGAGGAACTTGCACTGAGGTCAACTAAATGTGAGGGCCAGTGGCTGCAGGAAGTCGTGATGGGGCTTTACCAGGGACCGCGGCTCTTGGACTTTGCAAAGACCCCTTCTCACCTTCAGTTCAACAAATACGTCCTGACGGGTTACCGGCCAGTGTCCACGGCTCAGGAGTGTCTCAGGAGCCTCTTTTACATGCACAATGAGCTGGGCAACATCTACACCCACGGTAAGTCCAGGAAAATAACTCTGCACTGCTTTTACTTTCAGCTGCTTTAGAACTCCACTCCAATAAGATCAATCTTGAATAAATATAGAAAATTAATGTGTTAATTATATTAAAATGCATCTTTGCACTTGAAATGCCAGAGCAAGTTTTCCTCACCGTGCATATCCTATTAAGCCATATGGGGGATGTATAAACACACATGCCCACTACTCTCACTTATGGCCGGTTACAAGCATACTTGACGAGGGTGTGTAATGAGGATATGGGGTATTAGCTGTAATCTGCCCTGGGAATCCCAGCCCTGGAAATATCCGACAGTTAACTAGGTCTTTAAAGGTGACGGACACTTTTCAACTCTAAATGTATACTGAATGTTTCTCAAGCAAAGCGTCCTGGATGGACACCGGAGTTTGCACAAATGTAGAACAAAATCACAGTACGTAAAGATATGCGTACAATTTCTGCATTTGATGTAAGACCTAAAAATTCAAGCCCGACTTAAGTTGTGCAATAAAACAAGCAAAGATGGAACTTCAACCGTGCACGAGCCAACAACTGTGCGGCCTTGAACTTCAGAAAGCATCTCCTTGTTGTCCCATTTTCTCATTGGCTATCCCATAAGTTCATTAAGGCTAACACTCTTACTAAGGAGAAGTGAAGGGCATTAGCATTAGAGTGTTGCAGTGGTTTCTCTATGCATGTAACCAACTACCATGCATGTTGTTCCCGCTAAAAAACAAACAGAGGAAGTGCTTTCGGTTCAATAAATAACTCGTATAGTTCTGCATCGGGGGGATGTTTCATTGCAAGTGCCAGGTTTAAAATATCTCCATAAACAAAGATGTTCCTCCAAATCTGACCATAAGTTGTTTTCATGAAGTCAAAAATGAGATCATTTTAAGTGATTGTAGCAAAATTTAATGACTTGTAATTGTTCCTTCATCTAACTTTTCCCCTCACTCTTGTTCCTCCTCATCTTCCCGTCACCTCAGGCATTCCTTTCTTCCTTTTCTTGGTGCTGCTGCCTTTCAGTATCCCCTGGATGGAGGTGGACAACGTCTGGATATGTATAGTCCACTACCTGGCCTGCCTCAGCCCCACCGTTGGCTCAGTGGTCTACCATGTTTTCATGAACCACGTGGGAGGAGAATATGTGTACGACACCCTGCTCTCCCTGGACATGTTCGGGGTTTGTCTAGTCAACACCCTGGGTAGGTTGTTGGAAGAAAGTGAACATGACCCCATGTTTTCCTTAGCTTGATGCTAAGTGGCTCTGCTGTCAGAATTCTCCACTTTTTTCCCATGACTACAGTTTTAAAGTCTATGGGGGCATGTCCAGGTCACATTACACGTGTTTCCTGGAATTTCTGCTCCAGTGAATAAAGACTGTGTATCCATAAATCATATGCAAGTAAGCACATGTCCCTGAGCCTCAGTCATGCTGGATCCTCCATTATCCATGATGCAACTCAGCAGCGTCCTGCATGAGATCTTTCTTGCTTGCAATAATAAATGACCTCATCTTTCAAATATCTTAAGTTTCGAGCCAGACTCACTTCACTTAAGTCTTTGCAGAGTCAAATCTCATCTCACAACAGTCAAAGCCAAATCTCTGGTTGTCATTTCCAGCCACAGTGATTGTCCCTGGAAGAGGTTCACCGCTTTCATCCAAACTGAAACATCTCAACAAATATCTGATCCATTGTCATCAGACCGACATTTGTGTTCCTCAAAGAATGAAGCCTGTTAGTTTTGTTTAAGTCCTGACTTTTTCTTTATGCCCTCCAGCCTCAGTTATACTTTGTTGAGTGCTAATTACCAAATATTAACATGTTAACATATTTAATTAAGTAAACCATGTTGCCATGCTGGTATTATATCAGTGTAGAGTCTCAGTGATCCAGGTCAAGGTAATCCTGAGTGTTTCAATAGAAGACTACTTTCTGTTTCTTGAAGACGTTTCACCTCTCATCCAAGAGGCTTTCTGAGTTCAGATGGAGAGTCCTCGGTATGTATTTTTACCCCCAAATCACATGACCAAGGCTTGTTAACATCGGCGGCTCGCTCATTCACACCTTGAGTCATGTGTGTCTTTAACAAGCTTTGAGCCAAGTGAGTTGGAGGTGAGAATAAATACCTGCAACTGCCCACCACACAGTTAGAGCTGAGGAAGTCTCTCGGATGAAGGTGAAAAATCTTCAAGAAGCAGAAATGTAGGTCGAGTTTCCTGCTGAAGCACTTTGGATGCTGTCGACTTTCAGTCCTGTTATCAAACCTGAAACTAATCTTGTGTTTTGATGGCTCTGGGGTTTACAAGACCAAACTTAGAACCTGTTTACTCTCAGATCAAGTCTTCAGTCAAGTCTCACAGAAATAAAGACGAAGCAAGTTGTCCTCACTTTTAGAACTGAAGTCTGACTTGAGTCCAAGTCTGGTGAGAATTTTTATTCTAAAAATAACCCTGACAACAAAAATACCAAAACACCGTCTGCTTTCTCTCCAGGGGCCATTCCCATCATTTACATCACCCTTCTTTGCTACCCAACCGTGCAACAGACTGCCTTGCTGGCCTACATCCTCCTGTCAGCCTACGGGATCTACTGTGCCACCACGGCCCGCACCAACGTCCTGCGTCTGCGAGCCTTTGCCTGGCAGGGTTTATTTCGCTTTAGCCTCTTTCTGTTCCGGGTGTACGGCAGCGGGGTGGGCAGCCCAAACTCCCTGCGTCTCTTCGTCATCATGGACTCTCTAGCTGTGGTAGGAGGTGTAGTTAACATCATCCAGATCCCGGAGCGCTTCAGCCCGGGCCTGTTTGACAACTGGGGCAACAGCCACCAGATAATGCATGTCATGGTTATATGTGCAATTATCTACCTGCACTGGGGCACCCTGGAGGATTTAGCCTGGATTAAGTCCTTCCAGTGTCCTACTGAGTGATGCCAAGTGCATCTAGTTCGCACACACTCGCACTTAAGGCTACACTCATAGAGGTGAGTTTTAGGATTCAGTGATGCACGAGTAAAATATGGAGCTAAGTGGAGAGAATGTTTCAAAAATGCACTTTAGTCCTAGCTACTGAGATTCTTCACAAGGGAAGTTAATAGTTTGACATTTTGCCAGAGAAGAAAAAGAGGAACCTGCAGTGTTATAACTGTGGAACTCCAACGTCCCTGTTTGAGGTTACAAATCCTGAGCACACTTGATTAGTTTGTTGATATGCAGTAGTTTTGGGTCACATCACCCATAACCAAAATAGCTCTTTAACTTAAAATGAAATAACTGTATGTAATAAATTATATATTTTTATATCTTGGTCCAACTTGTATTTGTGTCGTGCACGAGAAGAACTGGTTTGTGACAAAGTGACAGACTGGGGAGTGGTTGCATGCCTCTGCTGTTTAATTGCAAGAAAGATAAGTTGTACATACACTTGAAAAAAAATAAATCACAGATTTTGCTATTGCTAAATGTCACTCAAAATTTTAGTTTTTTTCCCCCATTTGTATTTGGCAACAAATGTTACATTCCTTGTATTGGCATTGTTATTTAGCTTAACCTGAACCCCTCAAAGACGGCCACCTTCAAACCAAAAGCATCAAAGCACTTTAAACTGCATCACATTATGTGAACTTATGGTCACTTCAGAAAATCAGGTGTGTTAATTAGATTTGAAGAGGTGTGGACGCTGCAGAGGTAGAATACCTCGACTGTAACACAGCAGCTTTATTGGTTTACAACGCACTGAATCAGTGCATTCTTGTGTTATCTGCAACGCTGGACGACCTTCCTCTTCGTTTCTCCCAGTAAGAGCTGCCTGGTCTGTCTGCGTGGATCAGTCATCGTCTGAGCTGCTGTCGTCCTCGGGTTCTGATAGGTCGGCGATGGGAAACCTCAAGATGGCCGCCACTCCACTCAGCTGAGTCAGTTCTGAGGAGACAGTCGAGGAGAAATCAATAGGTGACGGCACACAGCCAGTACAGCAGGAAGGTTTTATGTCCGATTACAAAAAGTCAATAATAAAAGTGAGTCAGGGCAACACTTCATGTACAGCGGTGAGGGTAAGAGAGTGTAATTCAGTGAGCTGAATGCACATCAGCAATGAAGACCTAATGGTACGGTGCCATAACGTTACTCATATAAAACAAAACTCTACAGGGGAGTGCATTTAAGGGCACTCTGGAGTATCTGACCTCTAGTATCATTATGGAGTGATGCTTCTAAAAGAGGTTCCTCATTTGGTTTGTATTGTGTGCGCTTAAGGATGCATTTGTGTGATGCACTGAGGCAGCAGTAATGTGCTGCGAAGAGCAATACGTCATAAAAAGTGGGTAAAGAAGAATATGACACGGATGTAATCAAAGAAGGTTTCAAATTAAAACTTGGTGGGGTACTTCTAAACCTGCACCAACTGTTTTTTGGCCATGTGGGGGCAACAGAAACAAGTTTTGAGAACAACACTGACTGTCTTTCAAGCTCATACGGCAAAACAAACATATTCAGCAAATACAGAGCAGCATTACCATTAGGAGTCATATTCACTCTCCTTTTAGCTCTGATTTTGGTCTCTACCAACTCCTGCAAGAAAGGATCAGGATCTTTACCTGCTACATGCTCTGTTAGGTTCAGTACTTGTATGCAAACTCTGTCTGTCTGCCATTTGGTGCTAGATAGTTACGATGACCTGAGTCTGAAACTGAGACTAAACCGAAACAATGACCTAAAAGACGTCATTAAGCTCCTTAGATTCTGGAGGAGTCACATTAGTTAATATAATAAAATATTGATCCACTTAAATCATCATTGTGCAGAACTGTGTAAATCAAAGTGGTTTATAAACTTACGTTCACCAGACACGTGGAGGCTTGAGAATATCCTGCATGGAAACAGAAAGAAAACTCATCAGCTGAATGTTGAGCAGGAAATGACCAACAACTAAATCTCTGCTATCCTGAATCTGTGCTGGTTAGCAAACTGACAGACAATCTGTCATCCTTCATTCATTCTTTAAACAAAGTAGTCAGTGTTTTAGATGTGAATCCCATTCTCAAGACTGTCAACAACTCTGTGACAAAGTGGACCCAAATAGAAAATGAAGATCATTATATATTTAAAAATTCATGCCTACTTGCTCATTCTCGGTGCCTGTGAACAGGGTATCTCCAAAGTTACCTGACATTGCCGCCGTTGTCTCTCACGCTGTCGACCAACCGAACATAGCGACTCCTCGTAGGGACATCCTGATGCCTGGATGTATGTACACACAGACAAAATACACATTAAAATGTTGGACTGGACTGATTTCCTGCATCACTGTCAATCCTTAAGCTGATGAATTTAAAGCATCATCATCGCTGATAAAGGCTTTAAAATCAAACATCACCTTTGGCTGAAATGAACACTGACAGGCCAGTAAGGCTAAAAGTCTGTTTGAAAATGGTACATAAAAATAAATATGGGATGATTTACATGGAAGTGGTTGTTTTCTCTGGTGAATGCATGAATTTGAAAAGCATCATGCCTGCGTGTGCCAGTGGGCCAATGTGATAAGACATAATAACACGTTAATTCCACTACAGGAGAGACGTGATGTTCTCTGCAATTAGGTTTAAAAAAAAACGGTGCATATTTTAGCAGGTGTAGTCAGCCAAAATGAGTTGGAAAATATCAGCAAAAATCACACATTGTGCATCTCTAATCTAAAGAAAACTGAGCAGCAGAAACAGATGAGGAAGCACATAAACAGCACTGAAGCTGAAAACTGTGTTGATGTTTCTGTGACCTACATTATCCTGTTAGCTTCAGTTTTTGGTTGAAACTATTTAAAATGTCAGTTAAAATGCCGCTAACCAGATGGAGCAATAACATTATCTGTAAAACAACCTTCTCTGTGCATTTCTAATGTATAAGCTGCAGACAGAAACGTATCTCCCAGCATGTACCTGAACAACTTATCACTTATCAGCAAGGTGTCGACGGCGAGGGCGTCAGCAGCTTTCTCCACATGAGCAAGTCTGTGCGGAGATACAAAGGTTGTTGATCATCAGTGTGAATGAGTGACGCCTCTGTGGGACACAACTGTCTGGTCCATCATCACTCACCCGTAGAAGGCTCTGTCAGGCTCATGCTGGAGCATCTTATAGAAGTCCTCCAGGGCTTTCACCTCTCCAGCTGCCTAAGAGTTAGACATAAATACCATTGTACACAGAGATAAAGACACTGGGATCATAGGATGTGTAGGTCCATGTGAAGGCATTATTATCCTGAATAAAGGACTCACAAACACTAAGCACTGATTAAACAACTGTGGGAACAGATTACCAAACTGCATGTGGATTCGGTTTATCTTAAAAGATGCTAAAGTAAGTAGCCTTGTACATGTTATAGTTAGTCTTTTATAATTATTATGTCAAATTTTGTATGTTTCACACCATCAACATTTTTCTTTACCACATGACCCTTTGTAAAAATATATACCAGTACCTCTTTTTTTTGTTTTAATTCGAGAGTATTTGTTTCAGGATGACGTATAAAACAGACAAATGACAGGATGCATCGTCACCTTGGTGTCAGAGAGTCTACTCGTCACAGTGGGGTCAGACAGGATTTCTGCAAAACAACAAGCATTTCACTAAGTTTTCACCGCATGATGATACTCGACTGTTTCACTCTCAGATTTCCAGCAGCTCCTACCTTTGAGTGAATACTTGTGACCTGATGATGAGTGGACCAGCATGAATTTGGGTCGATTCTCCAGCAGGAGCTTGTTGTCCTGTCGCACCGCCTCTTTGTAGAGGTAGGTGATAAACTGGTCCTTGACAAACCCTGGACTGGCCACCAGGATGCACTTCACCACTAGTGGGAGGAAAGGAAGGGAAATCGAAACCTGTCTCATGTCTATTTTCATTTCTTTGAACCAAAACCAAAAAAAAAACTGGAGACAAGCAAAGACTTTGGGCGACGATGATAAACCACAACAGGACCATAAAACAGTGCAGTGGTTAATTTAATTGATTTATAGCAACATATTTTTAAAAAAGGAAGCATGTGACAAAAAGGGGAACATAGTAAATGTGTATGTATGGATTTATAGGTGTGCATGTTTTAGAGTCTGTACAGCAGCCATACCATCAAAATTGATGTGACGAAGGATCGCCTGCATCACGGCCTCATAAAACCTCTCCAGCGCCTGTAAACACAGACAGACAGTTTGACATCAAACAGCATACGTGACAAATACACTATGTACCAGTACCGAGGCAACAGGATGTCCAGTTTGTGAATTTGTCCTAATATGAAGATTTTTTTCCGTAGAAATCACTGTCTGATGACTGAATATAAATGTTGTGCATCTGAGCTCTTTTAAAGACATGTAGTGTTGAATACCTGTGTACCTTGTACTACTCAGTACAATTCTAGTCCTCAAGATGAACAAAACACATTTTGTAGAACGAGGACTGTCATTGGGTCAACACATCTACACTAGACTTCATTTTCCCATCAATCTATCCACTTAGCCTGCAGCTGTCCGACCTAATATTTCTGTCTTTTCTCACAATATTTACTTCTAAACCTTTAAACCACAAAACCTGCTGGTGGGTTTGAAAGTCATCCATCCATTATCTGTCCACCGCTTAATCCTCACTAGGGTCATGGGGGGCTGGAGTCTATCCCATCTGACTCAGGGTGAAGGCAGGGGACACCCTGGACAGGTCACCAGTCTATCACAGGGCTACACTTAGAGACAGACAACCAAGTACAGTCACATTCACACCTACGGACAATTTAGAATCACCAATTAACCTCAACATGTTTTTGGACTTGTGGGAGAAGGACAGAGAACCCGGAGAGAACAAAAGTCAGGAATTCTTCAGCTGGACGCAGCTGAACTGCCGGCTGTGTAAGAATGGGAACTAATTAAAACTGTAAGTAGGGCAATATCTTTTGCATGCACCTTTTTATTTTCTTGTGTTTCCATAGAGGTGCGTGACTTTATACTGGGGTAAATAATAACCCCACAGCAGGTAAAAACGTGACAAGGGCCACAAAGATGATTACCTTCTCGTGCTGAGTGCAGCTTCCTCTTCTCTTGCGAGGAATCGTGACTTCCACTTTTGCGCGAAGCAGAGTCATGGCCGGGGTCACCAGTACCAGGTTGGCCAGGCCCTCCTGCATCACCACAGCTGCCACATCTGCCTTCTGGGCGGCGTCACATGCCTGCTCTAAAGAGTAAACAACGAATTACGACATGGATGATATGTGGTAGTGGAGACTTCATGAAGTTATCAGCAGTGTGGTGCTGCAGTTTGACAATAAATTGTTCTATTTTATTGTTAAAGGAATATTATGCAAACTGAGACTTTAACAGCTGAGTGGGCAGTTGCTAAAGCCAATGAAAGTCTGTCTGGTAAACAACATACTTCTGAGTCCATGTGATTACTGTTTACACGTCCTGATTGACGCACAAGTGGGAAGTGCATGCTTAAAGGAACCACGACTGACACAAAGTGATCACTTCTCCTGTGAGTGCTCAGACCAAACAAAACAAATTGTAGTCGTGGTGGCAGCTGAAGTTAAACAGTAGCGCCTGCTTACCGATTCTATCCAGCACAACGCTGTCCCAGCACTTCTTGGCAAGAGTAAACTTCCTGTTGAGCTCGAGCTCAATAGTGTGATAGGCCCCCATCTGAAAAGCAAAAAAACACAAGATGACAACAACCAATTTTCAGTTCAAACAGGGGTTAAACTGGGCAATCACAAAAAACGGACAAGGTTACACCTACAGTGGGGCAATACATCAAACTAAGTCAGTTCATTAGAATTTTTGTTTTGTGAAAAAATTGTCTAAAAAATATCTGGCTATGTTCTTCCTCTGCTGTCTCTCAAACAAGACAAGCAGTGACAAACACTTCTCGGGACTCATGACAGAAATGCAAGCTGTCGTGGTCTCCCAGGAGACACCTTTAGAAGTAAAGAAGAACTTTTAGAAGAACTTTTTTCTGCCAGTTAACAGAAAGTTAAGTAAGGGCAGCAGTAGCTGATGATAACAAAATAAGACAGAAGGATGGTTGTCATAGACAAAGTCTGATGTTGAACAAACCATCGTGTTGTGTCAAGTTTGAAAAAAACACTGTACAAACTAAACTTGCATGCTAGTTCCAGTCCCAATTACAAAACCGCAGCTAAAAAGCAGCTAATATTAGCTGCCCTACTTTCATTTGACACTCACATGACAAAACAGGACAATGGTGAAAGGAAATTACAGAAGCCATTGCGTTTTATATCAGTGTAGACATGGTAAGCGTTTACACATTAGAGAAGATGCTGGAAACAGGTTTAAACCACCGGACTCAAAGTATTTTTGCTGAAGCCATCCTAGGAGCTTCGGTAAAAAGCAAGTGGGCTTCAAATCTCTTCCAAGATGCTTCTTCAGAAGTGAAGAACTGTTTTCAGAACAAACAAAGCCTCTTGGATGAGAGGTGAAATGTCCCCAATGATCTAAGACAGAAGTCCAGTTGCTTTTTGCTGAAGCTCCAAGGATTACATGACCTGAATGACTGAGAATCTACATTTTGCAGAAGCACTGACATATTACTTTGTTAGTGTTGCACAGCTGTTTCTAGTGTTCTTCTTTACAGTGTTAACAATATGTAAAAGCTAGTGTTGCCTTGTTTTATTGGTCACGCACATATAGCCCAGTGACTGCTGACAGGGATATTGTTTTAGTAAGTTTATGTAACGAGAAATAAAAACTCAAGATGTTGATCTTATATACGACTGGAAAAAACAAACAAAACAAGATTATATATTTTGGCCGTATCACCCAACCCGAGCTCCAATTAACAGATTACTTAAAAATCTCAGACCTTGACATACTGGTTCTCCTCTATGTTGGTGCCTTTTACTCTCAGCTGGCAGGCATGGGAGTCAAAGTCGATAGTCTCCACACATATTGTTAGAGTGGTCCGAACTCTTGAGCTGCCCACACTTCCAGTGGGGGATTCAGTCTGCACCTTTCTGTGGGAAAAAGAGACTCTTTAGTTCTGACTCTGATGGAGACAAAACAGTCACTCGCAGACAGAAATAGTGAGAGATGGAATTAGAAATGAAACCCTGATGGAAAATCATCACAGCAGTATTGAACACAATACACACAAGTGGAGCTACAGCTAAATGAAGCGCTAGCCCGAGTACAACATGGTGTCTGTCGCTATGATGATTCACAGACTGTTAAAGGTAGATGCAACTCCTATACTTAGCTGAGGCAGATTCAGTTCACAGAGCAGAGTGTAGCAAAAAACAGAATTCTTGCAAAAATAGTCATGTGTAAATAAAGCTTTCTGTCGCAACTTAACGATTGCAGCAGGTGCGTACTTGCTGCCTGGTGGTGGTTGTAACAGAGGTGGATGGGAACTAATCCTTGAGCAGTTTTGTCAAGGTACTAAACAAACGTAGATTCTAATCCTTATCAACAAACAGAATAGCTATCAATTGCCAGCTCTCAGGGCAACAAGATCCATCTCAGAGGGGCTGGGAAACTGCCAGATTGGTTTGTTTGCGCTACAGGGCTTCATCGGTCGCTTTCATGTGATAGAGTTTAATGGTTACCTGATAGTTGAGGCTCTCAAGCTGTCCCCCACTTGGAGCAGGTTGTAGGTGTGCCACATATCCTCCGCCTCCTCTGGCACCAGAGTCACCTGGCTGAAGAAGCATTTGGCAATCAGTAAACCAGACTGTGCATTGGTGTCATCTGTGGTTTTGGTTATCACTAACTTAAATTGTGGATGTGCTGTCAGATGTGAACCCATTATTTGGTGTAATGACACAGATGGTGCAGTGATGCATCAGCACTCCTGCTGCTACAGTAATTACTGAGTGCACGTATATTATATCACAGGTGGGGTTTGTTTTGTTAACTCACTGGGGTGTTGTGAGTGTGCTCAGTCATTACAGCTAAAGCAGAGTGGTACCATCTAAGCTCATACAGGTTAGTTCTGAGATAACACATATTAACTACAGGAGGGGTAACTTCTGTGCTAATCCAAGACTCCCCTCATCTTTGTTGGCACAGATGACTGTAAATCACATGTGGACCATTACAGCTGCTACGTTGACACATGAACAGTCAGCAACAAAATAGCATGCTGGTTAGCTTGCTAACATTAGCCTCTCACTCACCCGGCATTATCTTTCTCAATGTCTTTATGGACCAGCTTCATGGTCGGATGATTGTATAATATAAACAGGACTATTAGTGTAAAATAGGCAGGTTAACGTCTATCCGAGTAAGAGACATGTTTAAAACTTTTAGTGAAATAGCCAACTAGCTAAGCCATCTCTCCACTTCAGAATGAATCACTCGCTGAGTGTTGCCAGGCGCTGGGACATTGCGTCATGCCAAAATACGTAGTCAAGTCTTCCCATCTTGGTCACTTCCGTGGGTGTCGCTTTACTGCGCCACAAATACAAAGCGATACAAACGATAAAACCTGAGTAAATGTGGACAAGTGTGGTTTATCTCGCATTACTTGACAGAATCTTCAATTTACAACGACCAAAACGAGAGACATAACCGAGAATGAGGGCCCTTTTTACAATGTAGTTTGAGATAAGTAAATGCTGACAGACATTGACAGCAGCCATTCAGAGAGAAGATTGGATGTTAGAAATCCCGCCTTTTGAGGAAACTGACCAATGGGAGCACGACAACAGTCAGGCCACTTCCGTTCAACCTCGCTTCGAGCTAACGCTCGTCTAGCCTTTTTTTTGTCGATGGCATGGTGCTAGTAGCTACGGCAGAAATAGCGTTGTCACGAGAAAATATTTTAAAGTAGATTCGGATATCTAATGGAAAATAGTTGACTAATACGATTTTCTAAAGTACATGTCAACCATCACATCTTTTATTATTCAGCACCCAGCCTCAAATTTTGAGGTTGCCAATTCTGCCCCAAGGTTAGCTAGCTAGCGGGCTAACGATAGCCGATTAACGCTAAACTAGTTGGGCTAACGGTAACTCGGTAGCCAGTTAACAGTCATTACGTCTTAAATTCGTAGGAGTAATTAGAAAACGACCAGAATAGGGGAATAGCATGGCAGAAGCCGACAAGTTGAACATCGACTCCATTATACAGCGTCTGCTGGAAGGTAAGACTCAGTATTTCGCTCGATATTTATTCACCGAGGTAGCCATTTTAGCTAATGGAGGCTAGACAACGATAGCCGTCAGTGCTATGTTAGCAAATTGAGTTCATCTCCCGTCTCTTGCAAATGAAGCACAGGATTTGAATTGTGCAAGATTTCGGCCGGTAGCATCCGTATCGCAGCAGATTAACGTGTTATTTCGACTTTTCTGCTTAAATTGTGAAAAGTAAAACAGTATTTACGCGAAGGGTGTCGTCAAGAGTTGGTGTCGTTAACCTTGTATTGTCACTAAAAGAATGAAGCAATGTACATATTTTTTTAAATGTTGTGGTTTATAGCATACTTGTGTGTAGGGATAACTATAAAAAGGTTTTGTTTCATGGAAATCAAGTGTTTTTTGCTCAGTATGGTCAAGCTGTAAATCCACAGAACTGTTCACAAGATGGAAATTAAAGCCTTAAAGCTTATATTTATTACTCTTTGCTCTCAGATGAGGTTTTGTTTTTTGCTTCTCCCACAGTCCCACTTGTCCTGTAGTATTTATTTTCTTGGTATTTGTTTCAGATAGTTGTATTTGTTGATCGTGCTCAGAGGTGTGGTTTAGAAAACTCCCCATATCCCGCTAAAATAACACTGGGTCTTATCAGAGAGTCATATGGCTTTTTCTGATATTCACTATTTATAGGTCAGCTTCGGGATTTATCTGGAATTGATTCTCTTTCTATCTGGTCTTGTGCTGAATTTTGGGCCATTGTAGATTAGTTATGAAATTGTGACCAAAAACCTAAAGCATCTTGAATGTTTTTGAAGATCCTTATCAGATTGTGGTTGTAAATAAGAACTCCACTTTTAGCTTTTCACTGTGAAATATACAATCTAGCAATTTGTCTTCCTTTTCTTCCTCATTTTGTCGTTGAGGTTTCTATAATTGTGATAGTTGTGCTGATGGAAGTAACAGATTGAACAATAACGTGCCAACTGTGCATGGCCGTGTGCCATATTCTGCACAGAACATGTGAATTCTATTTTCGCATTTATTTCCCTTAATAGGAATAAAACGCTACATTTCCCTCGAATGTTCTGTCAAAAATCCCGTAAATAGCACCGATACCGTGATCACTGAATAGCATTGTTCGTACTTCCCATAAAAATGAGAATGAATATAAAACTGTGCTGTTAATGGTCTGTTGTTTCCACTACACTGTTTATGACTTGAGCTGCTTTTTTTTTTTCTCCTCACAGTGAAAGGCTCCAGACCTGGCAAAAATGTTCAGCTGACAGAGAATGAAATCCGTGGTCTCTGCCTCAAATCCCGGGAGATCTTCCTCAGCCAGCCAATCCTGCTCGAACTTGAGGCGCCCCTCAAGATTTGTGGTGAGGCTTAGTTGTGTTCTTTAGAGTCTTGGGAATTTTCTCGTGTGGTCACATTGCCTTTAAAAACACTTTAGATGCCTGTTGTAGCTTAAAGTGCTGGGCTATTATGAGAAGGCTTACATTCAAATTATTCTGTTTATTCATGTGATCAGACGCTAAAAGATTTTCAAATTACATTTAATTTGTTCTTAAAAAAAAAAAAAAGCGGAACCCTATGATAGATGTTTCAGGACAAAAACAGAGTGCACGGCTGTGACCTTGCTACAGAAATGAAGGGATACACTGTCATTGGCTTGCCTGTACAGTGATGTTTTACACTTTGTCTACCTGGAATTGCCCTCCTTTGTCACACTGCTGATGCCACTTAAATCTAAATGCTATTTTAAAGAAATGGCCCGCAAATTCCAGGAACTAGACAAGTTTGCAGAACATTAAAAAGTCACCAGCACTGCCACTGTGAATGCAAGCTTGCACATTCAATGAATTCTCATCCTAACACCACACATCAATCAAAATATGAATAACAGTGTTCATTTAAAATAATGGAAGGCCAATCATGGCGTGAAATGTTGTGGTTAATTTACAGGGTGCCAAGTGTTGTTGTACCTCTATCCATGTCCCTTGTTCTTTGTTTTGCACACACACACAGAGCATGATAATCACACTGTTTCCATTCTGATACCGCTTGTCTCTCCAGGTGATGTTCATGGGCAGTACTATGATCTGCTTCGGCTGTTTGAATATGGGGGCTTTCCACCAGAGAGCAACTACCTGTTCCTGGGGGACTATGTAGACAGAGGCAAGCAGTCCCTGGAGACCATCTGCCTGTTGCTGGCTTACAAGATCAAATACCCAGAAAACTTTTTTCTGCTGAGGGGAAACCATGAGTGCGCCTCCATTAACAGAATATATGGCTTCTACGATGAGTGTAAGTCGTGTGGCGTGTACACTGACACAGACATTGATCTTATCGATCTTATCAAACATATTAGATCCTGACAGACATGTCTTGATAGTCATTTAAGTTTTGTTATATATGCTAAAATAAAGAAAAAAGAGAGAGAAAGCAAAGTGTAAACATGAATGAATTTTTATTAGTTGACAAGCGTCAGTGAAGTGATCAACATTTACACACACTGTTTAATTAGATTATTTTTTACCTGTTCTGCTGCTAGAATTGTACACGTGATGCCAGCGGTGTACGAATCTAGTAATCTAGTAATTTTATAACAAATCAGTTGTCTGTTAAAAAAAAAAAAGAAGAAGAAGAAGCTTGTGATCATTTCATCTTGTTTTCTAATCAGTATCTTGATGGATGTGTTTCACCAGATGTTCTTTGGAGTGTAAATTCATGTAGCATTTTCACTAAGCACCTATTTTGCCGTCCACTTCTGAAAACAGTAACGGAGACACAAAGTTACTTGAGCTAGAGGTTACCAGCAGTGACTAGAAGTCTTCCAGCGTGCAGCAGCTGTGACTGTAACAGTTTGTTCGGATTGCGTTGCCATTATCAAACAGAGTGTACCCATTATTTTGAACTAATCTACAAATGATTAGCTATTTTATTATGCTAAGAAAAGCACTGCACCCAGTCTTTGGAATAAACAGCGAATCAGTTCTTTTAAACTTGAGGGTGAAAGTGATTAATTAGCAGTAACAAAGCACACATAGAGAACCTCTCAGTACACCAGGCTTCGGGCTAATGAGCATGATCAGGGCAGCATGCGCAGCGATTATCACATGCCCGTTCTCACTGTTCACAGAGCCAGGATTATGTAAAATGTGTTCCGCCTGTGATGCAATAGGTGCCGCTGATTTAATAGGTCTTGAGATTAGATTGTGATAAAGTAATTGTGGTTTCCTCCCACAGGTAAGAGGCGATACAACATAAAGCTGTGGAAGACCTTCACCGACTGCTTCAACTGTTTGCCTGTTGCAGCCATTGTTGATGAGAAGATCTTCTGTTGCCATGGAGGTATCCTCATCAAACAGCTCATTTGGCTTCCATCCAGAGCACATACACAAACTCGCCTCAGCTCTGTTGCTTCTGTCAACATAATGGGCAAAGGCCTGAAGCGCTGTGCGGGATTGCAATTTCTTGTTTGACTGTATTTATATATATCCTTTCCCCCTATCAGCAGACATGGCTATAGATATGCAGGCACAACTTAAACAGACTGTTCCTATGGCTGTGACATTCTGGACTACATGCATAGGTCATGCATTTAGTCAAGTAGTTCACCAAGAAGATTGTTTTGTGCAGCGCTCTTGACAGTTGCATAACATGTAAAGACAAGTCAGATTGAAACAGCATAAACGAGGACATTTGATTTAGAATTGACTGAAAGGAGCACAGTTGTTTATCTTCCGTGCCTATGTGGACTAGTTGTGCTGTAAGACAGAAAATGACAACAGAATGGACCTAAGGGCTCAGACAAAGTGGCACCAACCCTCTGCCACATCTGTCTCATGTCTTTGAGAACCACCATGCAAACTATGTAAACAGACTTCGATAACAAAGAGGGTAAATTCCACCTCCTGCTTCAAGCATATAAAATTACGTAAGGCCAAACCCACTGGCAGGATATTGTATGTTTGCTGGAGTTATTTGTTTATTGAGCTCATATCAGATAAAGTCTCAATCCATCTTTTTACATCTGTCATGTACAGTGTGCATACACCGTTGTCTTCTAAATGATCAATCAGTATTTTTTAACCTCTTGGTGAATCCTAATTTAATCAGCAAACTGCAGACTACCTGATGATTCATCTGTAGTTCATATTTTTGTATGGATTGTTTAGTCCATCAGGTCTGTCAGGTGTTTTGTACAACCATCAATCAAAAACCAAACATTCAGTTTTACAATTATACAACA